GGGTAAAATCCTCTCCTCTGAAAGTAGCCTTGACATCTAGCTGAGATCTCTCCCCCTGCCACAGCGAGCTACAAAACAAGCCCATTATTGCAGGTCTTGCTTCCACAGTCCTGGGTCGTTCTTTGTGTTTACCAGCTGGGAAGCAGTTTGCTTGCGGCATGTACCAATGTATGTGTCCAGCCGTTTTCCTCATCCTTTACTGTTCTTGTCACAGTCACAGTGGCATAAATTAAAGTGCCTGTTCCTTCTTCTACTTCTCCCTTGAGGGGAGAAATGTATTCCTGAAGTCTATGGTTTCACAACAGATTGGCTTCTTTTTTTCCTTTGGAGGGGCTGGAGGGGAGGTTGGGTGCAGCTTCATCATGTGGAACATCTACTTTTTCTCCCCGTTACCATGGCAACTGAGTCTGGTCTGGCTTCTCAAAAAGGTGCTTGATGGTACCCAGCACCAAGGCCCTCAAGCAAAAGGATGGGAAAGGGGGAGGGGGAAAGGAGCAGCGTCCTTATTTTAATGCGTCATGGCCACTGTTTTCAGCTGGTGAATTTTCAAAATATAAGCCATAAAGAAGCAATAGGTCATCTGCATCTGTCAGACTTAACCACTGTTCTCCAACAATTTGGTTTTGACGATTGCAAATATTACAGTACAGGATGATGACTATGTATTCAGAAACTGTAATATGGATACTTGTTAAGGTAAGTGGCTGACTCTAACTTAAACTTGTCCTTTTTGTAATACGGGTCCCATGCAGTAATAAGCAACATGAATTTCAGCATCACCTCCAGGTCTTTATCCTATTTCTGTCATGGTCTCAAAATCATGCTGCACTGGCATGAGCCAGAAAAAAAAATTGCTTACAGCTGCAAGAACTTGCAGGAAAATGAGCTCTTTCAAAATAATGAGCTATTAACCCATGTCACTGCTGCAGAGGCATTGCAGTGGTGTCAGCCACTGGTGTGTCAATAAATAACAAGGCAAATTAGAAGTGGATGTAAATTTGTCTCTGTAGATAATTCTTCTTTGATATAAACTGGAACAAGTCTGAGTAACTGGATGAAAACACATTTGTGCTCAATTTGGCTTGACAGAAAGGAAAGCAGAGGTCCTTAATTTAGGTTCTCTCCCTAGTTAGCACCATTCACATGCCGATTATTTGGGTCACAATTTAGCTTGTTCAATTGTTTTCCAAAGATATTTCTGGAGCAAGTAAATACCTTTCTCTAGTCAGAAGAGGAGGGAAGAAAGGTAGACTTACGGATCAAAGGCCGCTAGCAAGAAGTTGAGCAATAAGCTGATGGATTGCTCCACATTGATCTGGTGGGTTGTCGGCATCCTTTTGTTGAGCTGGTAGAAGATAGTTGAAATCACAGCTTCCAGGCGAGCCACGTTCAGTTCGATGTTGGGATCCAGGTTGTTCAATGCGTTTTCCCGCAAGGCTTCTATCACGTTCCAGATGTCCACCAGGTGCACTAGGGTATGGGACAGAAAGTGTCAGTGGGGACACGCGCTCCTGAAAGCAACTGAGAAAAGAAGTCACCTCATCCCACAGGGTGGGGAATAACATCATCAAGCAGGACACACTTCATGAATAGTTAGATGAACGAATGTGTTTTCCATCACTGAGAATTGAACGTGGCAGAGGAAAGAGCAAATAAAATTCAAACCTGTTAATAAGCAAACAATATATTGATGTTATTAGTTGTAATGAGTACAACTTCAGCTCAGGAAATCATTCCTCACTGTATAAAGTATTCAAGTAAAAATCTGTATTTTACAGAAATCACTGGAAGGTAAACATATGCTAATTGTTTTTCTGAACCATGCCTCTATGAATCCCCATTCAGAAATTACTCTTAGATATTAATTTGCATAGCAGATGGGCTTTTCAGAAGATCCTACAAATACTAAGTGCTTAACATGCACTGACATTTTGAAAATCCTATTCAGCAATTTGTATGAAAAGCAAAATATTTTACAGAAACAGAACTGTAATTGAGTGAGGGTAGACAAGCTACATTTAAACAAAGAACACGTAATGAAGTGATCCCAAAGTCGTATTTTATGTCTTCTAAATATATTTGCCAAACGATTCGTTAAATCTCTCTTTGATAAAGTCACAGTCTAAGTTGAATTTCATGAGGGCTGTTTTTGCCTACAAGGACAGCTTAAAGGACAATCTCTGCTCACCCTTCATATTGTTCCCAAACAGAAATCTTGTTTGCTTAGCACTGTTATTGTGGCCATACGATCGGCCTGTCGCAGACTGGCATTTCCAGAAGTGGTGGACCATGCCAAAAATAAAAACCCTACACTCATTCAAAATTTGGATTAGTTCAAACCTGAATGCAAAGAATCATCTCTTTTTTTTTCTCTTATTACCTACTGTCCTACTAAACTGTCAAAACCAAACAAATCATGAGGTTCACGGTACAAATTCTCTTTTTTTTACCAGAGAAACTACTGTATAGTTCTTATTACTTAGCATGGTGATCTATTTTATGACATATCAAGAGTCATCTGTATGTGGAAAGAGATGCGTTTTTTTTGTGAATGGGGAAACTTAATTCTAATCCTCATCATTATATTTTTACTTGCTTGGTTTGCAGGTGCTGTCTCAGACTGCAATGTGACATGATGGTCTGATGGCAGGGAAATGTAAGCTGATACTAGATAGATAAATGAAACCAGATATACTGTTCTTTTACTTAGTCTAGAATTTTTCCCTATGATTGGGTTTCTATTCTTCTACCTCAGGAAAAAAAAAATCTCTAACACCCTGCTACTGCATGTGTAAGCCCAAGGAGGAAGATGATACACGATACAGGTGAGCAGCAACAGTAGCAGCAACTACTTCAGGCACTGGACAAGGCACTTTTATACTTCTTCTTGCTGTTCCCTAGCAAATAATTGGGAAAAAATGAAAGATGCAGTTCCATCATGACATCTAAATATTTATTTGGCCATTATATTGAAGGGAAACTTCTATAGGTGACCTTGTATGCTGGCTGGTTGTCTTCAGAGCGTTGCCCTGAATTAAGCCAGGTGGGTGGAGCACACAACCTCTCTGAACTCTTCCTTTTTGTCTTCTAGCTGGGGGAAGAGCATCTTCCCCATAAAAAATCTGGCATAGGTCTCAGATCCTTTTAATGTATCCATTCCCATTTCCATTCAACCAGTTTTCGCTGTCAAGTTGCTACAGAGGTAATCTGGGTAAATGGGAGATGAACCATCTCCAGGAAGAGAGCCTCCATGTAATAACTGACCCTTTCTGGGCAGCTTCTCCACATGGCTCAGAAGCCAGACTAGGCAGAGACAGAAGAAGTCACCAGAAAGCTAGCCATCTTCTGGTCCAGGACTGAAGGATTAATGAGCATTTCCCACTCTGGGTTACCACTGTAAGGCAGCCAAGGAAGAAACACAGCAATATGCCAGAAGATGCAGTATCGTGCTGGACCATGTGCACATATCTTGTGACCGTATTTAAGAGGGGAAGGGCAGGCAGAAAGCAGAAGGTTAAGCGTGATATTTCCCTCAAGGTCTAGCTGCTGCTGGCCATGAAGACTGTCTCTGGTAATTCAGACCAAGTAGATGAAGGAGAAGGTGCTTCCACCATCAGTTTCACCAGGCTGGCTTCTGGGTGTGTGCAGACGGTCAAACCTGAGTAATAGCTACACTAACAAGATAACAGCATGAGAAATTACCAGGCATAACAAATAGCCAAAAGGGAGTCGTGCATATGCAGATGGCTAACTTTGACTTGAGGCTGTGCTAACAAGATAGCAACCCAAGAAACAGCACAAACAGGGGTACTACCTTTAAGAGCGCTGCTGACCTAGGCAGAAATTACTAGGGCAACCCTATCATAAATACTGAATAAAGATGCAAAATCAGCAACATTGAAGCTGGTGGGAAAAGAATAAACAGAGACAGCCTGTTTATCTGGGAGTGCATAAGCATGGTAGAGGAAGAAGCATGGGGGTGGAAAAGGGGAATATAAAAGGTAACAAATCATCTCATCAGAGCTGCCTGGGGGTGCCTCTCAAGCAGCCCTGCACCCGATCAGCACAGAGGAATGAACACAGCAATAAGCCTGTTGTTTCGACCATACGTGTACCTAGTTTACTTCTGCAGTCACTGTGATGGTTTCCCTAGCATTGATAAAGGGACACCCGCGGAGGATGAACCAGACATCTTGACATCACTCCTAACAGTGAGAATTTCACACAGCGATTTAATTTTAATTGCTATAGCCTTGCAGTGGGAAACTCCTGAATAAGACAGCACAGGGGAAAACAGCTGGCACAAGGAATGAGGCTGAAATGGGGCTGTATATTATTACATTTTACTATTTTTATTATTATTTTATATTATTATTATGAAATATTAGTCTCAAAGAACTGTTGTGCTTTTGTACTACAAATAATTTTACTTGGGCTTTATTTTTCCGCAGAAACACTTTGGTTCCACTTGAAGTCTAACAAACAACAGTCGTACTGCACCATTTGATTTTGCATTTTATTAAGGAATTTCAAATGTCTCTACAGAGGCTGGAAAGTAGTACTTCCAGGAGGATGAAATGGAAGCTGGACAACAGCCAGACTTTTTAATAAGATCTGCTAATTTTGAAAATACCTGTTGAAATGTCTAGCCCAAAATCACAAGGAGAGTTTGTTAGTACAGAGGACCAAAGTCTCTGGTCTTTACTCAAGTCAGTTGTTACGGACAGAAATTCACCCATCTAAATTTAAATGTCAAAAATTAGGTGTCTACTGTCAGCTGGTGATCAAGGCTCCCTCTAATGTCAGTGAAAAAAAAAAAAGGTATCTTAAAGCATGTGTCTGGAGAGAGGTGGGATGAACAGTGCTTTGAAGGTGTCACTATTTCTTCATAGACTACAAAGCCTAAAGTGACAAGTTTACATGAGACATGTAACCTCAGAATAGGTAAAGTTAACTGAGATGAATCCCACACCTTGCTCTTTAAACATTAAGAGAAGATGTCTTTTTTCTTCTAACTACTACATGGCCTACAATAATTCAGGTTTTATATAAAATATGAATAATAAACACTTTAATTTGTATGAACAGCTACCAATCCTGTCATAGTCATGGCCTCTTACAGTGCATCGCTTAACCTTGTGCAGATTACACCTGGGTGTAGTGCCCTACTCATCCTATTTTTTTCAAGTTTACTCACATAGTAAGCAGACTTTTCCATAACATATCATGTTGCCAGGTCAACCTATCAACACTGGGAAAAGGCAGAGAAAAACACAGGCCTCTTCAAGCTCTACTCTTTTCATTTGTACTAAGAGAAATTTATGCCTACAGCTATTATGAATACCTGTAGCCTCTTCAATGTAGTAACAGAATGTCAACCTTGCAAACTCTGCATAAGCTTACATTCCTCTCATTTTAATTTTTATCCTCTCTGCTACCTATTTTCTACTATGTCTGCTATGCCTATTTATTTATTTATCCATCCATGAGATTGTCTTAATCTCACTGAAGAAGGCATATTTCTGTACTTTGTTTGCACAACATGTAGTACAATAAAACCCGAATCCGATTTCTATGTACTACGCAGATGTTAACAAGAGTTTGCAGTGTAACGAACAGCTTACAGATGCAGGAGAGCTTTCTCTCTCCTAAAATCTGCCTTAAATTCCCTCAACAAAGTCATACTCTATGAATTTGTTTTTAATCTCTCGTTGTTGTTCCTGCTTTTGTTGATAGGATAGGATAGGATAGGATAGGATAGGATAGGATAGGATAGGATAGGATAGGATAGGATAGGATAGGATAGGATAGGATAGGATAGTTTGGGTTGGAAGGGATCTTTAAAGGTCATCTAGTCCAACACCCCTGCAATGAGCAGGGACATCTTCAACTAGATGGGGTTGCTCAGAGCCCCGTCCAACCTGATCTTGAATGTTTCCAGGGATGGGGCATCCACCACCTCTCTGGGCAACCTCTGCCAGGGTTTCAACACCCTCATTGTCAAAAATTTCTTCCTTATGTCTAGTCTAAATCCACCCTCTTTCAGTTTAAAACCATTATCCCTTGTCTTATTGCAACAGGCCCTGCTAAAAAGTCTGTCCCCATCTTTCTGATAAGCCCCCTTTAAGTACTGGAAGGCTGCAATAAGGTCTCCCTGGAGATTTCTCTTCTCCAGGCTGAACCACCCCAACTGTCTCAGCCTTTCTTCATAGGGGAGGTGTTGTTGCCTTAACCACATTTCCTTCTGAAAAAGCAATTACCCCTCAGCATGAGAAAGATGCCCTTTCTGAACTGGATCTGTAAAGCTATAGAAATGTTCAGTTGTTTCTTCAGTGCCAGCAGATGATCACTAGGCAGCAGGAGTAAAAGCCACTTGTACCTAGCACCTGTGTGGTACAAGGCAATCCAAAATGGCGCAGCCCAGCCATTCTTTACGGACCCTCTAGAAAAGCCTCGCACTCTGTAAACAG